ACACTCTGTGAGCCTTTGGAAGACTGACTCTGTTATGCTATAACATCCTGTTAAGCCCCGCTACAGGTCCAGCCTCCTAACCTTATTCACTCCTCTTTAACATCAGTAGTTTCAGTGATAACCTCAGTGACATACAGTTCAGTTCATGCTTCAGCCCAACCATATTTTCTTGATATTCAGGACAATTTGCTGTTATGTAGCCACTTCACTGATGTAGCAGCAAGGATAGCTTTATTAGACACTATGTAAATAGCCCTCATCTCTTTATTTCCTCCCTCTCCTCACACCTTTTTGACCTTCATCATCCCCATGTTCTCTTTAAATCCCTTTTCCCCCTCTCTGTCTGATAATATTAGAAAGAAACCGGTCTTATCTTTCCTGTTCTCCTTCCCTCCTCTTTTCATGTTATGTCCTCCTTCCTCCCTCTCTAATTCCCCTCTCTCCCCCTCCCTCCCCCTCTCTCCCCAGACAGTGTAATTCCTTTAAAATGATGAGCAAGCGAGGCCAGGTAGACTATATTGAAAGGATTTGTCAACTGACGAATGGCACGACCAAGCAGATGAAATTGTAGTGAGCGTCTCACTGTGCAGCCAAGAAAATACTGCTGGTGCATTTTTCCTCAGACACACACACACACAGTGGGATATAGACACAGTTGTATTTTAACAAATATGAACACACTATAACAGGCACATACAAGACCTATACAGACGGGTGTCACTACAAATGTACAGTTTAGCTAAACTCATACTAACTCCCATCTCAGGAAAGACTTTAAATACTAATTTTAACAGTAACTTTGCAGAGTTTCTTCAGCCAATGTGTCTTGCCTGTTTTTTAATCTTTTGTCAACGACTTCCTTGTTTCCTTACTATTGGCTGATGACATCTCCATATTTCCAGCTGATTTCACATGATCGGTTGATCACATTTGGCAGTAGTTACTGGTAACCTGTCATATTTGGGGAAAAAAAAAAAAAAACTAAAGAAACCCACTGCTGTCACCTTTAGTGACTCTGTGCGAATGGCTTGCAGAGTACATCAGTGTATGATGTGTGTTTGTGAGTGTGTGTGCAGCTTTATCTTTTTGCCTGCACCAGCACACCTTTGTGTGTGTGTGAGTGTGTGGAAGCATTTGATTGAGTGAGGGAATGTTTGTGTGTTTATCTGTGTATTTTGAGCCAATTTGGAGTGGACTGAACAGTGTAGTGAAGCAGCGAAATAAATTGTCCTTTAGGCTGGGTATTTATTCAGACCAGTAGCCACTGACCATCCCTGTCTCTACACTCAGCTGTTCAACCACACACACACACACACACACACACACACACACACACACACACACTCATGGCCATATACAAAGTGATTAGAGCAGCTGTTTTTAGCAAAATGTTGTAATTAAGACCCATATATTAAACACTTGTCCCGGAGGCAAGAGAGAATGGAGAAGGAGACTGGTATACAAAGATAGAAGGCAATTAGTGACAACAATGTAAACCTTATTTATAGTGCCAAAATGAATACAGTAAGGAAATTCATGTTTTATTTGAACATTATTTGAATTAATGTGCACTTAACATTCCATCTGTTTTAAGGCCTGATCATAACTGAAAACTCAAGGTGAAACATTTGGTCTTAGAGACTTTGTGATATAGTGACTACTCACAGTTGGTAAACTATGGTAGTTAGCATGGCAACAGCTTGCATGCTAATCAGCCAGGCTAGCAGTTTTTCAATTATTCAGTCATCTTAGTATTTTATTAGTTGTTCTATTTAGTAATTAGTATTCTATCCACCTTAATTACTATGCACCTTATTTAGTATTCTAACCACCTTATAAAGGTGGATAGAATACTAATTGTTTTTATAATTCCCTCAGACAACCAATAAAAAT